AATTGAATGTAAATATCAGAAGGGGACAGAGCAGTGTAGTCTTGGCCTGGAGGTCCACAGGTATGAGGAGGAGCAGAACATCAAACAGAGACTGGAAGGTGAGAGGAGAGGTCTGGGGTTTGCCAGCTTGTCCCAGCTCTTCCCTACTAATGGCAAGATGGCTTCACTTTTGGGAGGCCACCAAAGACAGCAAGAAATTTAATGCTGTCAGCAACTCATTCAGTGGTTATCATGCACTTGGGAGATCTGTACTTAACTAGACAGCCCTGACTATAGCTGATACCTTAATAAGCTCTATGTTCATCTTTAAAGGACAAACTAGATAGCAGTTAATGGGCCACCAAATGCTGGCAGGAGAAGACAGGGAGAGAGGAAATAGGAAGAAGTCTGATTTTACATCACATCCCCTAACCAGTTCATCTAATTTCCAACAGCAAACCACAGAGCCAAATTACCCAGAAATCCTTCTAATTGCCATCAATAAGCATGGAGTCAGCCTCATTGATCCCAAAACCAAGGTAAGCAAAACTGAGGTCTTGACCAGATACTCCTGATCCCAATTCCCAACGCCTCCCAGAGGTCATCCCAAAGAGTGTGTTGTTCAGAACTTCAGCTTAGTTAGAAAGGCTGGACTACCAGAAGTTCCTGGAGGCAGAAATTCATTGTTGCACGGAGCTAGCCCAGCCTTTTTCAACAGGAGATGGATTGGGAGCATCAACTGTTAGGGCCCCGTAGCTGGAGGACACACACTCCTTCCTTAATCCTTTCACAGACATTACGACACGAGCTGGGCTAAACAAGCTCTTACTAGTTTCTTCCACTAACCACATGGTCATTCTAGTATGACAGTCCTCCACAAGCACTTCCATCTCATTGATATTCCCATGAGGTCATGGTATAGTCTCATCACAGTAGACATCCTTGGTCTCCTTTGATGGAAAGTGAATGAGGACATGAGAGGTCCCCACAGAGCCCTTTGTGAAAGTTGAGGCTGTCACGTGTTGAGTGTCAATCTTGTGTTCCCACCAGGATATTCTCATCACTCACCCCTTCACCAAGATCTCCAACTGGAGCAGTGGCAACACATACTTCCATATAACCATTGGCAACCTGGTGAGAGGAAGCAAACTGCTCTGTGAGACCTCCCTGGTAAGGACAGTTAAAGATTATTGGGCACGGTTAGACCAAATCCTGACTTTGGCAGGCAAAATTAAATGCTTACAGAAAACTGTGTCTCAGGGATTCTCTGAGCTGAAAGTGGTCTCTTCAAGAGCCCCCTATGTGTTATTTTTCTTCTAGATTTCCCATGGCTCTGCTTAATGGATCAGGGTTCTCATGTGGTCCATCATCCAATTTACAAGCAAGCCTGAGGTGCTTGGGACATTGCCATCTCAGGAGCATGGGGTGCTGCTCCCTGTCACAGGACTGAAAAGCACTTTAAAGCTAATGTGGGCTCAGGGGTTGCTCTTGAGCCCTTTTACCAAGATCCTTTGCCCAACTTGTCCCTCGTAACAGGCACAGCAACAAACTTCCTCCTACATCATCTTAAACCCAAAACATGAAGGATAAAAATTCCTG